GACATCGTTGCTCATAGATTTGTTAATATAAGATGCTTAGAAAATAGAAACTGATAATTAGTGGAAAACCTTTTAGTGGTTTTTTCTTTTTCTGTTTTTTTTTTTTGTATACTGTTTCTTCAGCTGTATGATCATTAACTGCTAAATCATAGTAGGGCTATACTTCAGTCAATATATTATTTCTTATATTGCAATGTACTAGCTTAGAGGTTTGAGAGTTTGTCATGAGTATTTTGTTCTCATTTTGATGATTGTTTTTCATTTAATCATCAAATCAAGAACAAAAATTAACCTTGCGTTAGTTGGGTACACAGTGCACCCGGGTGTATATAAAAAATTTCATAGAGGGTTGGAACGTTCTTAGAGGCACTAACATTATCTGATCTATTGTCCTTGTGTGATTTGAGTTGCTGTCTTCAACAGCTTTATTTGATTATGATGTGATATTTTTTTTTTCCTGATCCTTCACTCATATTTTTTATCAGATACAACTAATACGGGATCCTGAGTTGCAAGTTGAGATGGTTGGTGTCCCGAAAGAACACGTTTCTGGTCATGCATTCCACATGTACCACTTAACGTCTCCCGACCAAACGTAAATTTACACCTATCTCATCCACCTATTTTAAAGCTATGCTTTATCTGTTCCTACTAAAGAGTTTGGAGCTTTTTGGTCTCTTCTTAGGGTATCATTTGAGTTTCAGCATAATGTGTGTGGAAGGTCTATATATGCTGAGGGTACTGTCGATGCTGTGCTTTTCCTGGCGAAGAAGGTAGAGATCTTTTTCTTATTTGTTTTATTTTTCTTCCGTCCTTGTGATGTTAGAAAAATGCACATTACGGTAATTTAATTTCAAAATTATTCTCAAAATATGATGTGTTGAAAGGGAATTTCTCTCTTTTGATGAAAGCTAACGAGCAAGTGCTTGTCCTTTGGCTAACTCATGTCTTGTTGTTAATATTTGGAGTTTTGGGGAAATCTTTTTTCCTTCTTCTTGGTGGCTGGAAAGATTGGTTCAGAAGTGGTATAAAATGTTATTGTTGAATTATGCTACTCCGTATTATGGAGGTGGGGATCAGTTACTAGTTTGAATTTTTGGCTCAATGAGCTGTAGGATAAGTGTTTAGTATTATGAAGTAAGTGTACCTGATTTTTAGTGGTGGGCAAGTATGGTGTACCAGGGACGTTACGGAGTATATTATATAGATGTTGGATTGATTGCTAGTTAGGATGCAATTTTCTGAGTAACATAGCTGTTGTGTTAAAATCCAGAACTTTTTGTTTTGGCATATCAATTTAAATAATTTTGCTGTGAATTTGTAGTTTCTAAACATATTCCATAATTTCCTGGCATGAAAATAGGTTGCTAACTTGATTTTCTTTAATTTTTGGCTGTAAATTGATGCTGCAAAAACCTACGAGGTCTAAAAAAATGTGGTTCATACAGGTGCAATCCAAGGCTACAAAACAGATCTACAATATGATTGATGTCCTGCGCGAAGGCAACATGCGATGATTTTGTGATACTTGAAGATCGTTTGCAAATTAGTGCAATGGCTCACATTTTCCTAATTTGAATCATGTAGAGCTAGATTGCCTAGATATCTTTGTTGCATAGCAGGTAGGTATCTTTAGGAAAATCAGAGTCACAAGCTTGAGCATGAGTTTTGTAGTTTAGATTGTTAAATTGCCTTTGAGATATGTGGTACATGGGAAAGCCCAAAGGATATCTAGGCTTGGGTGCCACTTTTTAGGTCAAAATCCATTGTGATTTTTATAGCCTAAAATGATGGCCATGCACAAGTTTAATGATTAACGTATCTGATTATCAATAAGTAAAAATTATTTATAAAATGATATTATGAAAATACACATAATCCTAACAAGATTACACTTTATATTTTATCATAACTAAAATTCACAAGGTTAAGTAGAGTTTGACAAAGTTACGGAGTATTCTGCAATATTTATTCCGTTCACTTTTACTTGCAATGTTTTTGACTTTGACGTTGAATAATTTGATAGTTTCATATAGAGCTGGACATGGGCTGTGCTGGCCCGTGGGCGGCACAGGCACATCACGACATTAACCCGGCACGGCACGAGCCCGCTAGCGACATGACACGACACAACATGATGACCGAAGAGTGGGCTGCGGGCTGTGTCGCGAACACAGTTTGGAATTTCCAGCACGAGCACGGCACGAGCCCATGGGTGGCACGCCAATTCGGCCCATGGCACGGCACACGGCATGGCCCGGCACGACACGGTTAAAACGACTACTTTCCAATGTTAATATGCGCCAACAACTATAAAACGGCTAGTTTTTTCCATTTCTATCGGTTAGTTTCTATTCCTAACGACTATTTAATTTAATTCCCTATAAATATATCACTTCATCATCCATTTTTTTTCCACAATTCATTTGTCAACTCATCTATTATCTTAATATATGCATTGTTGCTTTTTGCTAAGTAATAATAAAAATGTACAATTATAAAGAATAAAATTAATTATAATAATAAAAATAACATAAATAATAAAAAAGAATTATAATAATAAAAATAAGAATAATAAAAAGAACTATAATAATTTAATAATAAAAAACATAAACATAAATTAATAAAATTATTTAAATAATATATCAATTTAAAAAAAAAATTATGGGCTGCTCGGTGCCCGGCGGTCCGGCACGTGGGCTGTGCCGTTCCATGGGCTGGGGTGTGCCAATTGGTGGCTTGGCACGGCGACACGACCCACCACCAGGCACGACCCGCGGTGGCCTGACACTCTAGTTTCATATCTTACATTAAAAGATGAATTCTTTCAAGTATTAATATATCAACTTAATTTTATACAATATAAGAAATTTTTATTCTTTTTAAAAGGTAATGACAGAGATTTCATGATTATATAAGAAAAAATAATTTTTATTTTGCAATTTTTACAAATATGTACAAGTAAAAGATATATAAAAACTCTAAAGTTTTTTTAATATATAGTTATAGAGTTTTTTTTCGAGTTTGAGCCAGCTATAATCGATCTTATTAATGAGCTTAAACAAGTTTTTCACGAGCATTACCGAGTCGAATATACTGTTATTCGAGCTTTATTCAATTATTTAACGTGTTTAAGTTTATTGTTGATTGTAAAAAAAAAAAAAAGTTTATTGTTCAAACTTGTTTGTTACTTAACAGTTTTGACATATCTTTTACTAAGCTTGTTCGTGAGTAGTTCGTGAACGTATCAGCTCATTTACATCCGTACCCAGAGGTGAGATGAGTATGACTCATACAATCATACTCCTCTTAGAAATTAAATAAAATAAACTCAGTTAAGATCAAACCCTGGACCAGAAGAGGGTAATTTCCTAAGAAGTATGAATGATTGATGGGGCAACAAATCAAGTATGCAGTATGCATCAAGTTTAAGTGTAATTTGCCAAAGCCGTTGATAGTGGACCTACTCTACTACTACTACTCTACTAGTGGTAAATTGGTGGTCGTAGTAATTTTATCACTTGTGTGTACTGTGTACTGAGAATGTGCGATGCATTGCGTCGGTTGAATAGGGGAGCTTTCCAGTTTACCCCCACGACTTCGTCACGTGAGGTTCACAATTATTAACGTAGGCCACATTTTAAGGTTGTTCACACGTTCATTTCGCTTTTCAATCCATCCATCTAATTTTGCCGATCAGAGTATTTGAGGTCGACTTAACAGGAATCTAAAATACAGGGTTATTTTGTCAAAAATAAAAATACGGAATTATTTCAAGTTACTTAAAAAGGAAAAAATTACTCATTTATTTATAATTTTATAGTATTACCATCTAAACTAAAACTTTGTTATTAAAAGTGCTTTTAAAAAAGATAATTTGTTTAGGAAAAACCTTTTAAAACAACTTTTTTGTTCGGCTTTTAAATTATTTTTGACCAAATGAAACTAAGGGCCTCTAATACACTTAATTAACCTCTAATTTCTCGTATTTCTTCTAATTAATCTTCAAATGTCACTTAACTATTTAATAATTAAATTAATTTATATTTTTTTTTTTAAAAAAGCGAAGACCACCACCACCCAGCCACCCACCCCTTCCCCCCTCCCCTAGCAACAACTCCCCTCCCCCATTCGAGCCGTCGTCTAGAACCCCTCACCCTCCCTTTCCCCTTTACCCTCGCTACGACCACCCTCCAAAACCATAACCCGGAAAACCCAACCCCCCTCCGTTCCACCACCACGAAATATCTCCCCACCCTTTCCCAGACCTCGAAGGGCGAAACAACCCCCTTTCTTTCCCTCACCGTTTCGGGGTATGGGAGAGGGAAGTGGGCTGTTTCGTGGTGGTTGAAGAGAGGGGTGGGTGGTTGCAGCGGGGTTAGGGTTCAAGGCGGCGGCTTAGACCAAGGAGGGGGATGGGGAGGGGTGGCTGGCTGGTGGTGGGGTGGTGGCGTTTTTTTTTTTAATTCATAAAATAATTTAATTATTAAATAGTTAAGTGAGAGTTAGTGGGTAATTAGAAGAAATTAGGAAAATTAGAGGTTAATTAAATGTATTATTGTTTGGTTGTTTTCAACAAAAAAAATTTATAAACAAGTTTCATGTGGCCAAAAAATTTTAAAAAGTTTTTTTTTTAACAAAAATGTTGCTTTAAAAGGTTTTTTCTTACAAATTTTTCTTTAAAAATTACGGTACAAAATTTATTGATTTTTGGAAAAAGTCACACAGTCACACATACGAAATACATAATAAGAACAAAAAATATACCTTCCCGTCCTATACAACTACAAGTTTAAAATTTGAATATATTAGCAAAGTATTTATCCATAAAATCATTTTTTTTTTATTTTTTTAAAATAATATATCTAGCTTTAAAAGCAAGCTCGTTCATTAACTATTAAAATAAAATAAATGAAAATTAATAACAATTGTATCGTTTATAAATCAATAACTATATCCAATTAGCATACCGTTTTCATAATAAAATCTACGAACCCATAGTTACGAATCAAAGCTTAACAAATAAATTAATCTGTGACGAACTAGTGTATAAACCTAAAAAAGGAAAAAGAAAAGAAGAAGAATTAGCGGGGAAAAGATTAGAAAACGTGATCAACTGCCAACTCGGCATTTTTACTCTGCTTCTCCCTCTTCTGTATATCCGCGTTTCTCTCTCTCTCCATCTTCCCGGCGATTCTTAAGCTGATGACCGACACAGATTTCTAGGGTTTTCTCTCTCCAATTTTCCCCCAAATCTCGTCAGATCTTCCCCCTAATTCTAATCTCCAATCATTCTACTCTTCCTATTATTTTCAATGCTACTACATTTTCGTCCTCACTCTCACTGATTCGACAAAATCTGAGTCTAATTTGTTCGTTAAATTCGTTTTCGATTGAATTTTATTGCGGAAGAATTTGAATAATGCCGACTCACGATCCTGCTACACCTGGCCAGGTTTAATTATTTTCAATATTGAACTTTTTAATTATAGTTTTTGGATGATTTTGAGTTTGTTTTATGTTTTACTTGAGTTTTATGCTGTATTTGATTTGATCGCTTAAATGTTGTTGTTACAGTGTTATTGGTGGTAAGTACGTAGAAATTTCGATCTTATTGTATTGTTGAATCTGAGTTTTTGATTGAGATTTTATTATTTAGAGGATAAGGCGTAAATCATTGTTGTTAGAGTGATATGTTAGTGTGATGATATCGAAAATTTGATGCGGATTTGCGAGGAAAGTGTATTTGATTAATGTTAGTGTGATATGTTAGCTTAATATTTTATTCTCTCGGTGGAATAGGTTAGTGTGGTGATGCTGAAGTTTGATTAGAATTTATGAGGAAATCGTATTGATTGATGTTAGTGTGATATGTTAGCTTAATACGGAGTATTTAATTTCTAGGCAGAATATGTTAGTGTGATGATGCCAAAGTTTGATTCAAATTTGCGAGGAAATAGTATCCGATTGATGTTTGATGTAGAAACGTTGAGTAAAATCAGTGGTATAGCTGGAATATGTCTTGTGAGAGTTCAATAAGATAAATTAGTACTTGTATATATCACAACAATTACTTGAAACTATAGGTTTCATAATAAAAGCTTACAACAGTGAATTCTAGATATTTAAGCTATGCATTGTTAGAAATAGTAGCATTATGAATATATGTGAAATGTAAATTTCATTTTATTGCTACTAGGCCTACTACAAGGAGAGCCTATAAAATTAGAGATGGAGACAAATGGAAACAAGTACGAAGTTCAAAATAGGACATTAATTATGTACCTAGTAAACAAGAGGATAGCTGGTTGTGGATGATAATTTGTGGGAAAATAAGCAATATAGTGTGAAATTTTGATGAACACTCTCGGACATCCGATCTCGCGGTCACAAGTTTAGGCTCCATCTATTGTGTCAAGCACAATATGACTTTTTATGTGACTAGTTAGCTTCGAATTTATATAATTTACTATTTTACTGTAGGTATGGTCGCATGGACATATCTCATATGGTTATGCTCACATTCTACATTGATGTGATTTTCCATTGAATAAGTTTTATTGGAAAATGTGATCTGGATGAGTAGTTTTAATGTAGCAAAGGTGTAGCAGTGGGATCATAGATGATAACTTCCAACTTTCTATTTAAAAACTATTGTTTTTGGTAAACTATGATAAGGCAAATGTGGTAAGCCTCATATTCTACCTGGCTTTTTATTTTTTTTGGGTAGGTGGGTGGAGGGAGGGTTGTTTCACTTAATTTTGATTTGTGCAACATATTGAGTTCAACTTTTCTGTTGATTTTGTAGAACAGACACTGATAAGATCACATCACTAGTGTTGAGACCTAGTTCAGTCTCCATTTTCTTTTTGGCTCCTGACATTTTGTTGTCTTTCGGTTACTACAGTTTCTTTTATTTATTTTTTTGCTTTCTAAAAAATATCTTGCAGGTATCATTTGTCCTTGGACTTGTTCCAGTTCTTGTGGCATGGCTATATTCTGAATTATTGGATTATAGAAAAAGGTCTACCATCTCCAAAGCGTGAGTTCCAATTCTTGGCTTTGTTTAATTTATTTTAGGGCATATATACAGGTGTTGGACCTTCCACTATAATTGAAATGGAATATGTAGGATTTGAATTGATATTGTAATCCATGTGTTTGTTTTATTTATTTATTTATTTATTTTTAAATGTAAACTAGTGACAGTATGTAATAGTTTGGTTAAATATATAAATAACTAACTTCTAGCCAGCAACGATATATGGATTTTTTTGGCATACAGCAAGAAATTACTATCTATGCCAAGTAAAGCCTTTCGGTGAAGTTCAGCTCTGTATCGATTTTCTGTTGATGTTAGACTCTAATGCAAGTTGGATTTTAAGGAAGAATATGATGTTCTATGATTTTTTTCCTTTCTAGTGTTTTGAACAGGCTGCAACATTTTTTACACTTATTTGGCCCAAATCAATATCTTTCTGGAAGTATAAATTTTTTTTCAGGTATTTAGTTTGTGGTGAATGTTCTGGTAACACTTTTTTGTGTGAAATATATCTTTATATGCAAGGGGGAAGAGTGCTATTATCTGAATTAACCGGTTCTGTTGTATGGGTGTTAACCTGTGAGTGCTGTATACCTGCCCAATAATATTGTGAACATGTCATGTGGGCTTGTTTATTGATACAAATTATGCCAATTGCTAGGTTAAATGCTACTTTTTGGGTTATCATCACTGTATATATAAATATTATTGCCTGCTATTTTCTTTTAGCAGGCATTCTGAAGTCAATCTGGTTGAGATTAGAAATGGTGCAAGTGCAACTGAGGAAAATGAGAATGCTTTTTTGCTGGAAGGCGGAGGGACAAGTTCAGTGCCTTCGGGAGCTCGAAATGAATCTTTCATGCATCATATCTCAAGGTTCAAAGATTGGCTTTCTTCTCAATTAAAGAGTTGTTTCAGAAGTTTGCGTTCTACTTTGTTCTGATGAGTCACTGTCTTATTTGTCCAGGTTTTTTTTAATGGATGAGACTTTCTTGCTTGATAATAAATTGACATTGAGAGCTATGTGAGTAAATGAGTTTTCATATTGCTATTTGTATCTTCAGAATTTAGAGCTTTGTTCAGGTGGTCATTGTAGACTGAATTTTTTGTTGGAGTTTTGTTCAGGTCTGAGTTTGGTCTCTTTTTGGGTTACTTCTACTTCTGTGACCGGACAAATCTTTTTGGTGAATCTAAAAAGGTACTTTCCTTCCACCTTGTTATGCTTATGCTTTAACGAGTGTAAAATTGTATATAGAAACTAGATTAGAAGGTGGAGTGGCTAATTTTAATGTGTGTAGTGATATACTGATATCTGTAAAAACTTGATATGCATGTATTTTCTTGTTTATATATATATATATATATATATATATATATATATATATATATAGTAACCTCTGCCGATTTCTTGATCTGACCTTCTTAGCTTCTGAATCCTCTGTTGTCAATTTTGGATGCAGGATTACAATCGAGATCTATTCTTGTTTCTCTACTTTCTACTTATCATTGTTGCAGCTATTACATCATTTACAATACATACGGACAGATCACCATTTTCTGGAAAATCTATTCTTTATTTGAATAGGCATCAAACTGAAGAATGGAAAGGCTGGATGCAGGTTTGTTCCACTTAACATTGGTTGTTCCTCTTTTTATGATTAATACTTAATGAGTTGTATTTTGTATTGGCTTTATATCCTCCTTCGATGCACATTCTTCAGTAGAAAATGATTTATGGTGTATTTTCTCATCTTATGGGTTCTTTCTTTGATTCTCAGTCCTTTTGTAATTTTCCCTGGCAGGTGCTTTTTCTGATGTACCACTATTTTGCTGCTACTGAGGTCTATAATGCTATCCGTGTTTTCATAGCTGCTTATGTGTGGATGACTGGATTCGGTAACTTCTCCTACTATTATATCCGCAAGGATTTTAGCTTTGTGAGGTTTGCTCAGGTGCGATTCGCTTAAACTGGGATATTTAATCTGCAATAATTACTTGTTGAATTGCTTCTGATTTATGGTTCTGCACAAGCAGATGATGTGGCGGCTCAATTTCTTGGTGATATTTTGCTGCATTGTCCTAAACAACAGCTATATGCTGTATTACATATGCCCAATGCATACTCTTTTTACTCTTATGGTTTATGGTGCTCTTGGCATTCTGCACAAATATAATGAGATTGGATGGATCATGGCTGTAAAAATGGGTGCTTGTTTTCTGACTGTTATACTGATTTGGGAAATACCTGGGGTGTTTGAACTGCTCTGGAGCCCATTCGCTTTTCTTCTTGGTAATTATATCTGCTAAAATGGGTGCCTTCAATTTAAATTTATTCTTCATATTGACTTTCTAGATCTAACAAATGCTCTGAAACTGAAGGTTATGTTGATCCTGCAAGACCAAATCGTCCTATCTTGTATGAATGGCACTTTCGCTCAGGCCTTGATCGCTACATATGGATAATTGGAATGATATATGCTTATTATCACCCAATGGTGAAGTTCATTACTTATCTTTCTCTTTTATAGTTCTTTTTCCTTTTCCCCAATTTCTACAAACAACTTCACTAGTCTTTTGGTATGGAAATGGCATTACTTATTAGAAACTTTTTATTAATTTATAGGTCTTTTGGGCTGTTGAGCTGCCCTTCATGTCTCAAGTTCTAAATACTTTTATTACAGGTTGAGCGATGGATGGAGAAACTGGAAGAAGCAGAAGTGAGATGGAAAATAGCTATTAAAGCAGCTGTCGTGATTAGCTCTCTGTCGGTAATATCCCTAATTTGTATCATTGGCCATCTCTTGTAAACAAACTTTATGTTAGATAAAAGCTGGGATGATGGATGACATAATCTCACTCTGATCTTTAGGTAGGGTATCTCTGGTTTGAGCACATATACAAGTTAGATAAGGTTACATACAATAAGTATCATCCTTATACCTCGTGGATCCCAATTACGTAAGTATCAGTTACCCTATCTGTAATCTTAATTGCTGTAACCTTAACTTTGAAATCCTGATTTCTTCGTATATTCTGTCATCAGTGTCTACATATGCTTGAGGAATGTTACCCAGCACTTCCGAAGCTACTCGTTAACACTTTTTGCGTAAGTAGCTTTCAAGACTATCCATGTATGGTTCAATTTGGAATACAATGTAATTGATATCGGTGGTCTTTGTTGTCTCAATTATGCTTGATTTGGTTTCGCAGATGGCTTGGCAAAATCACATTGGAGACTTACATCTCCCAGTTTCACATATGGCTAAGGTATTACGCTGTGATCATCTTATATTGGTAATATGTTAAGTATCTGCTGGAATCATTATCTGGTGAATTGCTTGAGATTGACATTTACATGCAATGCTGTTCATATTCCAGCTTATTCTCATTTTATGGCCTTGAAGAGTCCAATTTTTTTTTATACCCATTTTGTTAAGTCTTGGAGTTCATTCTCCAACTCAGTTTAAGTAGTATTAAAGTATGTTCATTTTCAGATCTAGTGTGCCTGATGGACAACCCAAGTTATTGCTGTCATTTATCCCAGATTACCCACTGCTGAACTTCATGCTCGTTACTAGCATTTATGTAGCAGTAAGCTAATTACTTTTTAATTATTTTTTTATATTGTTTATTTGTATGCCTTTTCAACTCTTTTGATTGTGTATGCTAAATGTGTGCAGGTTTCGTATAGGCTATTTGAATTAACTAACACATTAAAAGTGGCATTTCTTCCAAGCAAAGACGACAAAAGGCTAACGAACAACATAGTTGCAGCTTTGGCTATCTCTTGTGTTCTCTACACACTGTCACTAATGCTGCTAAAAGTCCCTCTGATAATGGTGAGAATGTCTTCATATAAGATACTATTATCTGTTATGGGTTTGCATTCTGTAGAAGTCTCATTTGGTCACGATAGCATATTCATTGCCCATAGATTTCTTACTTGGTTTCGTAGTTGTTTGCATTACTAAAACCTGGTTAAACTTGAATGGTCTTTCAGTCACTGTTTCCCAGCATTGTCGATTAGCAATATGCTTTATCTCAATATAAATTCTGTTTTAAATATTTTGGTAAAATTCTTGGGTTATGGCTGAGGATTCAAGGAATTCATAGGGTACCGATTTTTCCTTTTCTTTTTGTGTTTTTTTTTTTTAAACTGTGCTCAAATGTGTACTCAACCTTGAGGATTTGATGTTTGACACAGTGTTTGTTATGGACTGACTTCCGGCAGCCGGTAGTGCAACAGTTAATTATAATAGTTAAGCGAAGGAAGGCTTAATACTTGATTAATAATGGAAAAATGATTACAAACTAATAGCTTTAGGCTATTACTCTCACAAGTAGCTTGAGGCCACCACTCTCACCAATGTGTTTACACTCAATTTTCTGGATGTCCTCCCACTAACACATACCATACTACTTATTCTAAAATGGTCAAGGATGACCTTAAGGCTTAACATGTGATACTAAACTAATTTAGAAAAATATAAATAAACAACAAAGAAACTAAGTTGCTTTCTTTCCTTCTCTTCTTCTTAATTAATTTTGTCTTCTTCTCAATTAGAGTTGTCTTGAGGCATAGGATTGTTCTCTGCTGCTGCTCTTGCTTGACCTTGCTGGACTTTACTTCTTGCATAGGTGGTTGACCCGAACTGAGGCTTGGCCTATTTGGATCCATGACACTGTTCAATTCTCTAATTTCTGTTTGTAGTTAACATTAATTAAATTAACTTTGTGCACTTTTCCACATTTTACTCTTGTGGTTTGTTGATGTTGCACACTTTACCCCCCCAATCAAATGCTTTAGCTATAAGGATGGTGACTTCCTCTTGTTGTGTTTTCCAAAGTTATATATGCTGTATTAATACACATAGCCTTAGAGGTTCCTCTTGTACAAAGTTAAAGAAAAAGGGTACCTTGTGAATGTATCACATCTCGGGGTTATCCCAAATCTGGCAGTCCTCGTGTACAAACCCTCCCCCTTTGGCTATGCTCCTCCCCTTCTCCATTTAGGGTGAGGTGGGGTGTTGATTCTTTTGTTGTGCTTTGCTGCTTAATAGACGAAAATAATAAACTTATTTGATGTTTGTGCTGACTGCTGAGTCTCATATTGTGTAAATGTTTGTCAACAGGTGTGAATTTAGAACTGTAGAAGTATTGAAGATGCTAAGAGAGTCCATGTCTACTCAAATTTTTAGACATCGATATGTTATCATCTATCACGAAAGAATGTATCTGAAAAAGATGATTCAGAAAATACTAGTCATATGAAACCCCGATGAAATTGAGGCCAAGTCTTTCTGATCTATGTACAGGAGTATGCTGAAAGGCTGGTGAACACGCGCGCACAAGAAAACATGTTTCATTCATTTAATAGCCATTCTTTCTATATACTCCCAAATCTAGAAGATGTAATATGTTTAATATTAGCTAAGCCGGTTAATCCTGTATACAGTATACCAACCAGTTTTGGATAGTATCAATTACAAGTTTTCATGTGTTAAATGTGGTTAGGATGACTCTTTTGTTGTGGTCTTTATGGCAAATTAATTGTGCCCTGTGAACTATAAAGTTGTATACGTGGTGTTACCTCTGCGGTTTTAACATCAGCTGATGGGGGTCACCTACATTTTATTTTGAACGCAGTTGTAGACTTGCAATTGTAGAATTGTATGAATTGGTTAGTGATCTGTATAAAACAGTAAATTACAAGTATTAGTGAATGTGGACTTCACACTAACCTTGGAAGTGACATCTTTAATGCTAGTAACAAAGCTTGACACTGATGACAGTAGTCACAGTAGGCAATAAGCTGTGCACATCAGCAAGGTCTTCACTGTACAACTGGTTATACCTTGCACGTCGTACCTGTGTGCTCATAACACATAAGGTACAAGCACATGGGAAAAGAAATATCCTAGTAAAACCATTACTTCATACAATTTGTTGTATAGTGAAAACTACCCTTGTGTGGTATGAGGGGAAATGTTGCACAAAACATGTTTCTAAACTACCATGGTGTGAACATTTTTGCCACTGTTGAGGTTGAAAAATGAAAAGCAACTTTAGTTCTTTACATGTTTTGTTGGAATATATTTCTTGAACAAGAAACATTATAAAGATCCAGATTTATAAGTGTAAAACTGAGAATAATTTGGGGTATGCACATCTCATTTTCACAATCAAAATGTGGACGATGGCCACATTACTATATTGTGGTCATGCCAGATTCTAAATGAAAGATTTGTTGATGCCACCATGTTGCAATATAAAATCAATCCAGAGGAAATGGTAAGAAACTGCACCTAAATTTCCTCTTAAAATATAATATTACATACATAACAAGAAAAATAGAATATAACGTTACTTTTTGTCTATGATTCTTCTAAAATGAGTGAAACATGTGTTGAGCTTTTCTGCTCAAGTTATCTGTCTACATAAAAAACAAATATAACCGAAACTTCATAAGTTGGAAGTTCCTCAAACAAAAAGACTAGCAAAGTCAAAATTGAGCTAGAATATCATAGTAAACTGGAAATGACATCTGCTGAAAGAAAGTGCGAGCTCCATTAAAATTTCTGAATATGGAAGCAGATTGGGGCTGCATGTGAAGCAGAAGCAGCAGCAGCAGCGGCCCTTAGTCTTGTAGGATATAGTCCATCAAAAGATGTGCACAATGTCATAGGCAAATCTACTTATTGTCAAGGAAACAATCAGTAGGTCTAAATGCATTGTCAACATTTTGGTAGCACAGAAACTATAAGCTAACATAATTTTACAGTAATTCTCTATATGCATAAGCAATTACAGTAATAGAAGAATGTTCAAACTTCAGACTGTGCTTAAAGGCTGGTATTTGGGACCTAAAAGAAATACTAATTACTAATTAGCATCTTGCATAAAAGACTGCTTAATTTTAACCAACAAGAAAAGGCGAAACTTAACAATACTATAGTAACCATACTCACCAAGACAATCAACACATTAGTACACAGGTTGACAGCTACAGCAGGTAGAAGAGAACAACTGACTCGAGGAATTCTGAATGCCTCAAGGGATTTCACTTGGCATTAACTGAATCTATGTTTAATACAAGAGATACTAGATATATCTACAATGCACTGATATTTATAGTCTCAACACAAGTTTTCTTAAATTACATACCTTTTGAACTTAAAAGTGGTGTATTGACTATTGGATTGCATATTTGCATGTAGTAAAAGCACAGTGATAAATATATGAAAATATTAAGATAGAGTGTATAAGATGAATAGTAAAGGACATTAGAAACACTCTTGGCTCTGCAGTTGACCATATTTATGCATGCAAAAGATATTAGTAGAACACAAAACAGATCTCTCAATAAAGTAGAAGATAAAAACCAAAATTGTAAGAAGGATACGTCCAAAACAGCACGAACGACTGCATAAGACCAAAAGAAACAAGTTAATGAAAAAGTAATGACAAAGATATTTATTTATTTATTTATTTTATAAAAAGCATCATAATATAAGCTTAACATGCAAACAAACTTCACAGGAAACAATTGAAAGGAGCTGCTGGAAGGCCAGAATGCTAGAAACCGAACGTCCATTTGTCTTATATAATTAGAATAATGAGACATAACATAAAAACTGACAAGCTAGAGAAAACATTGAACTGAATGAGTGACCATGGCATTTGATAGGTAAAAGGAAAGCCAAACAAATGGAAACAAAACTCCATTTGTTACATGAAAGTTTCTTTGTGCAGACCCGTATGGCCTTATCCCTCTCCTTTCTGGTTTATTAGAACAGTGTAATAAAACTCGACTTAAAGGTTAACATTTATAAATTCTCTGTACAACAAGGAAAAGTGGAAAACATTTCAGGTCCTTTGTCTCTCCTAAGTGCCTAAATGTAAAGGTGAAATTTTCTTTACAAAATCCTACAAGAATTGGTTGAAGATGAATTGAGAACAAAGAAACAAGTAGTAAACAATAGAGAACAGTACCATAAGGCCACCTAAGAAGCCATCAAGCAAAATGCGATTCCAGCTATCAAAGTAAGAATGAATTGAGAATTTTGCCTTGGCTGTAAGTCCCACTGAAGTTACCGCCATCACCAGAAAGTAGAAGATAAACCCAGTTAGTCCTGTAAATCCAAGAATCCCAGCAATGATTCCTCCTACTATTGACATAAATGTCCGGCTGCAGACAGAGAACGAAATGGTCAAAGCTTCATCAGATGCTTTTTGTACTTGGATCACGGGAAGTCAAATTTCACATACTAACAAAGAAACGTATGGTTACTTAGAAGATAAACCAGTAAGAGATCATATAGCTTTCTGAAATTCCCCAAACTCCCAAAGTCACCTGGCGCATAATTTTAAGCATTCACAGATCCATACCAAAATACGAATAAAAATATATATGGATCATAATTATAGAGTGTGCAGGCTTGCCTTTTTCTTTTTTATTTTTATTTCTTTTAATAAATTCACTATTTTTTTTCGTGGGACGATGGTCTAGTATGCGAATTAGATGACAGATAGAATTTAAATATTATATGCAAAATAAATCAGCTAAAAACCCTGCAACTTATAGTCAACGATCATCCATACATAAAAACCACAATTGAAGCAAGAACACTTGTCAAGCCAAAGGGGGATAAGAAAAGGGGAAGGAGGGCAAAATCATAGAGAAATTAGGACTTAGGATTCTGGAAGATTAGTACTTTCAAATAATGCAGAGCAGAAAACAGGCTAACAGGGCATTTTGGTAGAGTTTGATGCTTGACCAGCATGAACACTACAGTTCCAAAAGATTCTTGCAAAGAAAGTCTAGCCTTAAAAGGCTACAATCCAAAATTTTAAAACTAGGGATATTAGCCTATAGAAACAGCGAATGTTGCATATAGGCTTTATTCTTGTGCAGAAATCAATATTCATTCTCCTTGCAAATTGATTATGCACCATACAAGCTTCATCTCGCTCTATAATTCAAATGTATTTCTTCTTCGATGTGATAGTGTGATAGTGTGATACCAGTGAAAATATAAACTTTTTAAGAAGCTACAACTGAAACAGAACCTGCCAGCTTATGTGAAGATGTACCTGTAATATATGACTTTCATATTACTCTGCACATTCTCGGCATTGATGTAGGGTGCATTGAGGTCCCCTTTAAGATTCTGGGAATATACACTAGAAGTAGCGTCTGCAGCCATGCCTTTCTCTTATAACAAAACAAATACTGCAGCCTGAAAAAAAAAAATTAAGAATCTATGGTAACTAACAAGTTTATCATGGACAGATCTTAGGTCATCAACAAACTAGTATACTACACTTCCTTTCCTCCAAATTCGCATAATCATAGCAGGAATTAAACAGATTAGCTCGAGCTCCCCTCGAATGCACGGGCCAACCGCCCCCACCTCCTCCCCCTCCGTTTTTCTATGTTATTATCATAATCTAATTTGATTATAAGCTCAAAAGCTCCATAAGTCTACTATGTGAGCAGCCAAATATCAACATACACATTCAGATGAAATATCATAATCAGAAAATACCTAATTCCACAAACTCATCTATATCTCTGATCTCTTTCAAAATTCTGACCATCATCCTAAAAACCTGAAATTAAATTCCACAAACTATATCTACATCTCTAAGCGAAAATCCTAACTCGAGGATTGCTCATTTGCACTATTGATGAAAAATCAATAACCCTAACCCCAAAACTCACTGGAATTTGATCAACTTAGCACTCAATACCCTCCGAAATTAACCCAGAAATTATGCAATAATCATTGAATCATAGAATTGAAGAATCAAAATCATAAACGAATTCAACAAAATAATTGGGAAATTGAAAGATTTACATTGCCCAAAAACATTAGAGTTTAGAACTAACCTTGAGAGAAGCAGCAGATCGAGACTGGAAAGAGACGACAGTAGAGAAGTTGAATAAATTAATGTGTTGTTGGACTTTATTTTGCGTTTTAAACGCTTATATACATCGTATACAAAGATGAGGCTTTGCCAATTGAATAAATACCCTTGTAATTAATGACTAAAATAGCCTTACTAAAAAAATTAAGCAACAAAGTATAAAAAAAAGAATACATATGTAACGCATTGTTATGGACGTAATTCCCACGACACAAAGTGAAGTCCTAAGGGTTGTCCTATTACCAAGACGGTCGCGTGTTAGACGAGTCTTGATGTTCAAGGTTGAATTAGGTGGAGAATGCCAAGGAGACTAATGTCCATGTCCAAGCAATAAGTGAGGTCAATGACGCATCTTAGTGACGACGCATCTTAGTGACGAACATCAATACTCGACACCCGACAACTACAATGACATCTAAAGGCCTAAGTGACCTACAATGACCTCCGTCGACCTCCAGTGGCCTCCGACGACCTCTAGTGACCTTTGACACGACACCGTCAAACGACGTTAGAAGATGACGCACGATGCAGATGGCCGACGTCTGAACAGGACGCGTCTCGTACTGCGACGCCTGAAAACTGCGGAACAAGTCAAGGTTGTTACTAGTGGTTCCTATAAATAAGGAGAGCATTTCTACCGGCCTTTAGCCAGTCAAGGAAGTTGTTATAACGGATATGAAGCCTAAATCAGTCTACATTCATCACTTGAGCAAGTCATGAAGTCAACCAACTACTTCCTATAATCAAGGGACTCACCCTTATTTTCCTCAACCGATTTCTACCACTTTAAGCCCTATAAAAGGAGGGCAACGACCAGCAAAAAAGGAAGATCATTCACACCATATTTCAAGCATAAAACACCCACAAAGACTACATTACAAAATACATCATTAAAAGGTGCATCGAGAGGCTCTATTCGACGATCTACATGACGACATGTCTCATCCGATTGTTCTACAAGCTACAATGATCGACCCAACATTTATACTTCTTCTCAATAACTATAATGTATACTTAATCTCTTGTTCTTATGAATTTCTTTACTATCTACTGCATTAGTCGCTCGAATATTCATTGTATTTGTATCAATAATGACTATAATGCTTGTATCATAGTGCATTGGTGGACAAATAGCCACCCATGGTTTTTACCCACCTTCACTGGGGTTTTCCGCGTCACTATATCGTATCTATCTTCTTTTTATCTCTATTGTTTACATTTCACATCTCTTTTAATCTAGTTATCGGCATCCCAACCAAAGGTTGTCTCTCTAGGCGATTTTTGACATAAACACATATTATTGAATTGATCTAAGTTTGGTCTAATGGAAAGGATTAATGTCTTTCTTAACTCATCATTTCTACTTTCAAAAATGTTTAGCTTGACATATCTCAAGCTGAATTACTCGTGAAGAGTTTCACTATGATAGCGAATAGCTGCTGATGGTGGGACTAAAAAAAGCGAGAATACATGATGGGTTATGGTGTAAGGGAAGTATCGACCATTGGTTATGCGACATGGTTATCAATTAATTTTTCTACATATTTGATATTTCATTCTTCTAAAGGTATAATAATAAATACATTATTAGTGTAGTTTGTTGTTCATTTGTCTCTATAGTAGTTTAATTTGTTTCTTATATATGGTGGAGTAATCCCCTATGGTGGAATAGTTGTGTTATTAGTGTTTAGTAGTTTGTTTTTCCTTAGTGGTTTATTGTGATATAAATTTATTGAAGATTTTAATTTTCAAATACAATCACGTGAATCAGATGGAATGAACGCATCCATGCAAATACAAATCTACAATAAATCATCATTTTGTCTCTAATTAAAGCCCAGATCTTTCACTATGCATGTTATGTCATTTCAATAATTCATGCACCCAATCTTATAATTGATGGTGTTTTTTTGGTGTTTAGAGAGCCACAAGGACGGGTGATGATAATCGATCCCAGGATCGACTGGAATCGGGAGGGAAGCTCTAACCACATGAGTTATCCCCTCACTCTCTCTTATAGTTGATGATGTGAGTTTGTGGGATGCACCCTCTTAAGGTCATGTCATTGGGTAAACCTAAGTCATAGTTGATACCCAAGCCATAGTTGATGCTTTTGAGGCCAATTTTGCCCAAATTTGATGAAATCTACCTTTGCTAGTTTTTATTTATTGATAGATTCAAATATCTATTGCAAATATTGTGCGATGTGCTATTAATGAATTTATTATAAAAACTTTTTTGGTCTTGCCTACTCTATATTTTTTCCTTAAATTGTATGTCAAGCCTCATATTACGATTAATTAGAAATGAAGGTAGTATTTATTTATAAGAATTATAACTCAGTGAATCTTTGTAAATTCAGAAGCATTATTGACGAAGAGTTCGGGGCTTACGATCAACCCACATGCAAAATACTTGTTACAGTTTATAATATCATCTCATGTAGTGTCCGGTGTTAGTTAGTCACAATAAACATATATTCATTATATTACCACAAAGTTAGACTTTCAATAGTTTTTTTTTTTTTAAAAAAAAAAAAAAAAAGTCAGCCTTTCAATACTCTTCAATTACTCACCAGTAACTCACTAAAATTCATAGCTACCTTAACAAATTTGTCCAAAACAAAATAAAAATGAACATTCTAAATCCTTGCATTGTAAAATCAAAATACAGACTAAATTATTTCTCTAGATAAAACTCTAACTATAAACCTTAAAAATATAAAACCTTGAAAATAATGACAAAGTCTCCTAAACTAATCTATTATCATTAGAAGTAGCATTCTTAGGTTGAAGATAGGATTGTGCAATGTAACCATCAGCACCTTTAGGGAAAAACCCACCAACTTTCTTAGGATCACCACTTCCATACACAATGTTCAATACTTCTATTGGACTTCTAGGGTACCCCAAAGAGTTCTCATCCCCTACAAGTATATTGCCCTTAATCTTGCCTTCTGCACCGTCTTTCCGGTCTACAAATATGCCTTCATCCCTTGAGCCTAGGTCACTCCCTAACTTGTTCCTTAGTTTTGAAAGCCGGTTCGTGAACTCTTGCACGGTTATCTTGTAAGGTACCACCCTTTGTAATCGTCGTTGGTAGAGCAATGATCGGATCACTGCGTCTTGGCCTGATTCCACTGCTAGCAATCCTGCTACTAGCTGGTTTTATGGGAAGGAGAAGAAAACGTCAAAATATGAAATAATATGTAATTAAGAACACATACAATAATTTCAAAGCATGCAATATGCATGAGTTAATCTAGTACGCACTCCTTGGATCACGTAAATGTTAGACGGGATATTTCATTTTAATTTTCAGATTAATAGACCTTTTGGTAGTCATTGTTCATAAGACTATTGTAAATTTTTTATAAATAATAGGTTTGGTTAAATGTTGAACTTTTATCGTATAATATTACCATATGTCCATCTTTTTTTTTTTATGTTCTCTCTAGGTTTTCTCCTTGGGAGGATTTTCCGGTTCTCTCTAGGGTTTCTCCCTTGAAAGAGTTTTTCTAGCCTCCATTGCTAGATTTTTTCTGTTTTTTTTAAGGTTAGGTTTTCCTTCACTCTTCTTCTTTTCTCTCTTTCTCTTTCATCTCTTTTCTTCTGGTCTTATTTGTGAATCTTTGAAGGGGCTTCCACCGGTGTTTTTACCGGTGGTAAGCCCTAAAAAAACTTTTTAATTGCTTTCAATAAATGGATCCCCATCTTTAAGATGATGATTATTCTATTAGGCTTACTTTCTTTTTTTGTTTGTCTGCCGAAAATTGAAGATTCAGGGTTTCATAATCCGGAAGTATCTAGAAGACCATATATATGAGTATTTTCACTCAACCAACTATTCATCAGTAGATCTCAAGCCGAATTAGTGTTAACTCACAGATTGTATTGTTTCGGATGAAATTTTTTGTTAAGGCAATCATTGATCGAATCTGCGATGTAACTAGCTAGCTTTAAGGTTATTTGTACTTGTGTTGGTATTCTAAAGTTCCTAGGAATTGTTTGTAACTGCCGTTTGGCTATCTTTCAATTCATTAATGAAATCCTTTTTCTTCTTGTCAAAAAAAATAAAATAATAATTACCCTTTACTATGACCTTTGTAATAACTCCAAATTAAAGAGGTATGTGTAAGACAAAGATGTGAGAAATAATTACAGTAATTAATTATATGTCTATTAAACCCCTAGCTAATATAAATTAACCGTAAAGACGCAGGTTGATAGTAATATCAAGCTCAACACACACACTATTGAGTCACGAACTAGCTTATACACACATTTTTTACCATCTTAGAGACAAACTACTCGTACAATCTTACACTCTTGATATGATTGTTAATTGCACATATATTTTAAAATTTAAAGCATGCATCGCCTGCAATTAGATATAATGATTATAAAATAGAATGGATGGAATAGCAAATTAAGTCAAAAGGCCAAAAATTAAGCATAGAAAACATGTATACATACCTTTCTGGCTTCAACGGAAAGAAGCTTGGGAATGGTACCCACATAACCAGTAAGACCAACGTAGGGAATCAAATAAGAGGCAAGAAGGTAATTTATTGAATTTCTATAAGGGTCAAATGGTGGAAATAGTGGATGTTCAAATGCTGAGTTCACCACTTCACTAAATTGTGCTGTACTTAGATTCAATGTTGGTCTTGGAAATCCCTTCACCACTTTCTTGATCGCCCTGCATAAAAATAAATCATTACCTTTGGCAAAGAGACATTATATAACGACAAATTAACAATTCGCAAATTTAACTTTTATGGTTTTCTTAGAATTATCTTTTCGATCAGTTGAAAATAATCTTATGCATGTTTATAGTTCGTTTTCTTAAAAAGTCTATATTGGATGGTTACTTAGCTTGCTAGCTAGTTGAGGTGAAGTATGGTTCGTAAAATTGATTCTGCACCGAATTTTAATGTTAACTTGAAATCGATAAATTTGGCTAATGATGAACAAACGACAATCTTTATGATTATATTTAATCTAAATTATAATAATAACAACCAACGTTGGATAAATGACTAAACTAACCTCAAATGACCAACTTCTTGGAGGGCAAATTGGGCGATAACATCATTAGTAAAAGGGTCAAGAAAGGCTTTTCTAACTCCAATTGGAGAAGGACCTCCCTCAGCAAGATCAGGGGCAATTTTGTCTAATCCCCGTCCAATAGAACCCCATAAGAAAAACTCAGCTTCTAAGTATTCCAAATTCAATGGGAACTCCAAATAATTTGTATCCCATGTTGGGATATTCGATTGTACCGATTCTCTTTGGTGTTCAACAATTTTTGAACTACTTACACTTTTCACTAAGCTTAATACATTAATTATAAGAAGAAAAGGTATTACTATTAACTTTAAGGTGAAAGACGATACCATTTTTTTGAGGTTAATTAATATAGATTAGTAATTAACCAAAGCTCGTTCTAAAATAAGTACTTAGCTAATGTAATGTATTATAGTTGATGAGAAATGAGAATAATTGGACCTAAATTTATATGTGCATGGAACAAAATTCTCTAACGTAAGCAATTGTACGTGTAAAATTTGTAGGACTTGAGGTTGTTATATTATTTATGCTTAGTCAAGATCCTAAGTTTATGCCTCTTGGATATTTTAATTTATGACTATTTTTTGTCATACTTAGATTTATTGCGTTTAGGCATATATCTAGGTAATGTAGTTTGTAGCTGGCATTTATTTTGGCAAAATCTGATCTCAATTTGTTGGGTCTAATATATAAAAGTTTGTCTTCCATTTATGACTGCGAAATGACATACGTAACTTTATATGTGTAACAAAAGTTTGATCTTGTTGATACGAAAGTACTATAAAATATCAAAATATGACTTTGCATGTAACAAACATTTGGTTAGAGATGATATTAATTAAGTGTAACTCTAACCTTGTTTGTTACGAAAGTACTATAAACTATCAAAACGTAAACTTTTATGTGTAACCAAAACTTGATTAGAAATGATATTGAGTAACTCCAACCTTATTTTATGTGTAACCAAAACTTGATTAGAATTGATATTGAGTAACTCCAACCTTAATGTTTTCTTGTTATGAGATATACATAGGTAATAGCCTAATAGGTAAGTTCTTATATAGTTATATATGAATAATAACATAATAATACTGGTGAACCTGAGATAAGCTTGGATTTTTTTTGGGTGTACATGTAGTTTGAATAGCCAGTATATTTAATTTGTGGAATGATTAAACCATTACTAATGAGGCCATATATGAGGGTTTATGGAAAATAATAGATGCAAACAAGAAGATTAAAAAGGAATGATTAAAAATTACTTTCTCCGTTCCACAAATATTGCAACAAGGATGAAATTATGCATCCCAAAACACATTTTATATGTTAAATATCTATAATTATGTAAGAGTTAAAATTATAAAAAGTTGATATTGTAAAAGTATTTTATGAGACGAATCTAACAAAACCCTACATGACTATATTTTACTTTACATATAAATCATAATATGTGGTCAAACAAGCATGATGAATAGTGCAAAAATCCAATTATTGCAATATTACTAAAATGGAGGAAGTATTAAGTATTGATAGCATCAATCAACATGTGGTTTTTATAATAATTTGAATTTAATATCATGCGCCCCATAGTTACTAGTTAGCCATGTTGGGATCAAATGTTCTCTAATAACGTGAATATAAATAAAAGTATATTTATTAATATTTTATATTTTTTGTTGCATTAACACTGTTTTTTTTTTCCCGTCATCTTCTTCGTTCCTTCTTCCACCTCCTTTTTCCATCCACCTTCATCTTCTTCACTCCTCTTTCCATTCGCCTTCATCTTCTTCATCCTCACTCACCTTCCACCGAAAACACCATTTCCTACGACACAGACACTTTCATCTTCTTCCTCTCCACCGACTTATCCATCACCAATTCTGGCGGCTTCGCCACCAAATTAAACGAAAACTCTAAGAAATAAAGGGCATGGTCAATCCCAAAGGGTAGAGGTGTCGTGTTCCTCCAATGAAGCTACCCTTGAGCTTTTGAAATCACTATTGAAGCTTTTGAAATCACTATTAACGCTTCTAAAATCACCATTAACGCTCTTTAAATTCTCCAACCTCCTTAAGACCTTAACGTCATTATTCACGAAGTTAATATTGTTAACTTCTGTTATCGGTGAAAATTACAATAATCTTACCCCCCTACTTACTCAAAATGACAACACCCCTTTGAAATACTTGCCATGTTAATCAATAAGAAAAACATGAAATTAACCCCTCCTTTTTTATTTGGAAATTCTCTTTGGTAACACTATACTTTCTAATTTTCTCAGTGGTGAATTGCGAAAAATTTTATTATCTTTGGTAAATCTAAATTTTTTATATTAAGTCAACTATAACATTAATGATAAAATTTAACTAAATATGTATCTATAGATAGTTTTTTTTTTATTTTTTTTACATTTATTTTAAAAATATTTTTTTCTAAAAAAAATAACCCATTTTCAAACAACTCCAGCCACCTTTCCCCCACCCCCACCAATGCCGGCGCCGGTGCCCAGCTCCACCTTTGCCGGTGCACCGGCCTCCCCTGGCGACGCCCGACCTCCCCCAACCCCGCCGATGACGCCCAGCCTCTCCCGCCCCCACCTCCTCTCTTTCCCCTTTTCGACCCTTCCCATTTCCCCCACCCAACGCCCCACCGCCGACCGCACAAACCACCACAAACCGGCCCCTTTCCCTTGTTCGCCGGCCAAAAACCCTAAAACCCACCCCAAAACACCAGAAAATACCTAAACCCGTTTAGGGTTTTGAAACCAAACTCAGGAAACGGGTTTGGTTTTCTGGTGGTTTTGGGTGGGTTTTAGGGTTTTCGTGGTCGGCTCACAGGGGAGGGGGTTCGTCGGGGAGGGGGTGAGGTTTTTGTGGTGGTTTGGGGTGCGATTAAGGCTCGATGGGCGACGGTGGGGAAATGGGAAGACGTGGGGGTCGGGGTAAAGGGAAAGAGAGGAGGTGCGGGGCGGGAGAGGCTGGGCGTCGCCGGCTGGGGGTGGGGGAGGCCAGGCGTCGCCGGCTGGGGGTTAGCCACCGACAGTGGTGCTGGTGCCTAGGTGAGGGGTTTGGGTTTTATATATATATATTTTTTATGGGTTGGGTTTAATATTAACCATAGTTAAGGAATTTATATTAAAATAACTATTCTCTTTGGTAATCAATAATTCAGGTTTACCAAGGATAATAAGTTTTTTCGCAATTCACGATTGAGAAAATAAAAAAGTATAGTGTTATCAAAGAAAATTTCCCTTCTTTTATTTTTAACAAAGATCGATTCATAAATAAAAGTCATACGTCATCTACAAAGTGATTTACATCAAACAAATACATGACAATTGAATCAAATAAAAACATACTTTTAGCAAAGCTACAATCGTTGTTGCAAATCGTATATTCTTTATACCCTCTTTCATATCGCTGTGGTTTACAGCCTTCTTCGACGAGGGGATCTATCGATCTGTTGTAGACATGAAGAAAATTTTCGCCTGATTCGTCTGGTTGTAATCGAAAGATTAATCTTTTTTTCGATCCCGCACAAATCTTTACCCAAAGAACAACACTACAACAATCTATCAAACAAAAAGGCAAATCCTCCCTCAAAAGAAAGAAGAAAAACCTTTCGAATGAGAAAAATCCTCCAAAGAAGAAGAAAAACCCTTTCTTTCGAGGGAGAAATGTTGAAAAGTTATTATAAACAAAAACAAAGAGAGAATGCACAAAAAACATAAAGATTGGGGTTTTTCACCGGTAAAAACCGATAAAAGCCCCTTTAAAATTCAATAATGGAGGCTAGAGTTTTTAGAGAGGGGAGGGGAGTGAGTTTTTAGAAATAAGTTTTGTATGAGTACTATATAATATAGTTAATTTTTTTTTGGTGAGTATTAGGAAGTAATTAATATTGAAATTATCCCTACCCCCAATTTCTTTTTTTTTTTTTTTTTTTTTGAAAAGGTAAGAAAATTAAAAATCAGGAAGCCCTCTAATTACCCCTAATGCATCATTGAAAATTGGAATTACCCCCAAGTAGGCGAAGTGAATTTATTAAAGTTTGGTTTAGTATGTTCCATAATTATACTACATCCTTCATTTTTTGTTAATTGCAAAGTTGAAGGTCAGTCTCCAGCAATTGAAAATCCGACACAGTCAGCTTCCAATTCCAGGTAACAATTTCTCAGTTTTCGAACTCCCCAATTTCTGGGCAAGTGTGTTAATTTCTGCTTAATTTTTGCTCCCAATTCAAGTTTTTGATTATAAACATGTATCTGAAAGATGGGTGTTCCTTATTATTGAAAATTCAGAAACCCTCAATTCCATTTCTTCTCAACAAAAGAAACCCAATTCCTGATCCTAAACCTTACCTTGAAACCAACAAAAACAATCTCAATGAATATACAGTAGTGAAGAATTTGAGAAAAGAATCTGATATTAGCTTAGCTTTGAGCTATTTTAAGCATATTTCCAATTCTAATTCTTTCAAACACACCCCTGAAACTTATAGAATCATGGTTCAAAAGCTTGGGAAACATGGGGATTTAGATGGGGTTCAGTATTTGTTGCAGCAGATGAAATTAGAGGGTGTTATTTGTTCTGAGGAGTTGTTTGTTGATTTGATTAGTTATTATAAGGATATGGGTTTAGCTGAGCAGGCCTTGAAAATGTTTTATAGGATTCAGGATTTCAATTGTAAGCCGACGGTTAAGATTTATAATCATTTGTTGGATGCTTTGCTTGCTGAGAATAGGTTTAAGATGATTAATCCGCTGTATAGTAATATGCAGAAAGATGGGGTTGAACCTAATGTGTTTACTTATAATGTGCTTTTGAAAGCATTGTGTAAAAATGGTCGTGTAGATGGTGCACGGAAACTCCTTAAGGAAATGTCTAATAAGGGTTGTGCCCCTGATGATGTGAGCTATACAACGATTGTATCATCCCTTTGTAAGGGTGGGAAGGTCCAGGAAGCTAAGGAGCTTGCTGAGTCTTTTGGTTTGGTTGTACCGGTTTATAATGCTTTGATTAGTGGGTATTGTCGAGATTGCAACTTTGTGGAGGCATTTGCTTTGTTGAATGAAATGGCTGAAAAAAGTGTTGATGCAAATGAGATAACGTATACAATAGTAATTAACGCTCTATGTGATGCTGGGATGGTTGAGTTGTCTATGGCTGTTTTAGGGAAGATGTTTTCTAGAGGATGTGAACCAAATATTTATACGTTTTCTTCATTAATCAAGGGTTTTGTCTGGAGAGGGAGACTGAATGAAGGATGTGATGTGTGGAACCGGATGGTAAGGGTGGGAGTTGTGCCCAATACAGTTGCTTTTAACACTTTGATACATGGTCTTTGCTCAAATAGTTCCATGGCTGAAGCTGTAGCTCTTCTCCATGAAATGGAGAAAAGACATCGTATACCAAATGTGACAACCTACAGTACCCTTATAGATGGTTTTGCAAAGTCTAAGGATTTGATTGGTGCATCTGAAATATGGAATCGGATGATAATAAGTGGCTGCCAACCCAATGTTGTCGCATATACATGCATGGTGGATGCCCTTTGTCGAGTTAAAATGTTTGATCAGGCTCAAGATCTCATTGAGTGCATGATGCGGGAAAAGTGCACCCCTAATACTTTGACATTTAACACATTTATAACAGGACTATGCCATGGTGGACGAGTTGATTGGGCTTTGAAGGCTTTTACTTCAATGGAAAGGTACGGCTGTTTACCTGACACAACTACATTCAATGAGCTTTTGGATGGCCTTTTCAAATCCAACTGTTTGGAAGAGGCTTTTGGGCTATTTAGGGAGATGGAAAAAATGGAGATCAAGTGGAATCCAACAACCTGCAATACGACTATACATGGTCTTTGTCAACTGGGTAGGTTTAAAGAAGCGCTGATGGTGATAGGAAGAATGTTGAGAAAGGGAAATAAACCTGACAAAATTACTTTCAACACCATGATTAATGCATACTGTCAGCATGGTGACATCAACAGAGCCATTCAACTAATGGATGTAATGAAGGCAGGAGAGTTGTGCCCAGACTTGGTCTCTTATACTAGTCTTGTATGTGGCTATTGTAAATGGAATGATACATATAATGCTACAGTTTTTCTTCAAAGGATGATGGATGAAGGATTTGCTCCAAATATTGCCACATGGGATGATTTAGTTCGAACATTATTCAGCAAATCTGAAATTTTCTACCAAGAATCAATAAATAAACTGGCTATGGTAACAGGACTTTCACGCAGAAGTCCTGTGCACTAATTCCTTCTGTGCTAAGGTAGGTTGAGGATCACTACCTTTTTGGCTTTTTTACAATGGGCAAACATTCTAGCAACCTAATCCTTTTAGGGAATGAATTACATCCAATAGCTATAAGTCTAGAACAGGGTTTTAGAAAATGTCCTACTGTACTATGAAAATCTTGCAGCCATTTCCTCTCAAAACAAATTACATACATTCTGTGGGAATTCAGCCTCTCAAGGGATGACTCTTAGAGCAAATCTTGCCATCTGAACCAAATCCCGGGTATTGCTGTAATGCTGTTGGCTCTAGCTGATGCATTCAGATAATTTAGAGCAGGTTAGAAGGTAGGCTATGTTTCTAGTCTTTCTCATTAGTGTGACTACGAGAAAGAGGATCTGAGCAAATTATCTAATACTCTTTTGTTCTTTCAGAAAAATTATGTGAAGAGAAACAACTACTGTCCACAATTTGAAATACTGAAGATTGAAACATGACTGTCTGACCTTACAACTTACAGGGTATGAATTGCTATCCTAGAAGCATCAATTTCTTTTAAATCTTGTCTACCTATCACTGGTCAAAGTTTTGATATTCAATTTTGCTGGAAATTTGTGATCTACTGCTGTTAAGCTAAGGAAGTCCTTTATGGAGGCTCCGCAGTTTGTATGATTTCAATAGTGATCCATCGCATTAACTTCAATAGTTTTTCATATGCAAACCCATGCTACTTTATATTATGAATGAAACCATCTTCTTTTATGATGAGCTCATCATCCAAGCAGGCGTGAAAGTGGGGCATTGATTATGCATGCTAAGGCTTCTTAGTTGAGTTCAATTTCAGGCATACCTTTAATAAGGCATACTCGAGGCCTGAAGCACAGTAACCTTATTTGAAAGATCTTGAAGAACTAAAATGATGGCTTTGTTGGAGATACTGTTTGATAAGGTCAACAAGGCAGAGAACAAGGAAAACAAAAATCCAGATTATGATTTTCAGTGTACAGTTGATGATGGGAAGAAGCTAAAGCGTAAGCTCTTGACGAAGGAAGACAATAGAAAAGGCATTTCACGCAGAGCTCCCTTTTGTTGGTTATGCACAATTAGTTTAATTTCTGCCAGTTTAGGCATCGAACACAACTGTTCCCATCAAGCTATTATAAATTTTGTTTTTCCTTTTTTATTTTACTAGGAATTCCAACGTGAGCGATGCGTGTGGTATAGCTAGCCCTTTGAGAAGAATTTTTACTGATGTTCTTTATGCCATATGCCTATTTGTGTAATATTTTATTAAAACTATTTGCATATATATAGACAATAAATGTGTTGGATGTTGTATAATAGTGCAATGTTCTAACCTTTAGCTGGGCTACTTTGATTTATTGATTTAAACAGTAAAAAGATACTGAGTTTGATGTAGAAATATAAAGGTCTAATAAATTAAATTAAAATAAAAAGAAATAGAGAGGGTAAAAGATGGATTTAAATATTGAAATAAAAATAACTTTTTAAATCAATTTAGGGAATTTAAGAGACAATTATAAGGCTTTTAAAATTAAATGGGGGCAAATATGTAAAAAGAACATTTTAGGGATATAAATGTCCATGTACTATTCATAAGAGTTTCCTTAAAACTTTTATAAGGTAGAGATTTGTCTTGAGCTTTGCAATTGTTCTTTTTTTTTTTTTTTTTTTTTTTTTTTGACAAGGATTGTTCTATATCCTTCGGTACTTCATTGTTACTCCTATTTACTATGAATAATACGAATTCTCTCTTAATTCTTTGCAATAATAATAAAATGAATTGTATTGTCAAATATGGGTGAGAAATATTAAGCATCAATTACAAATGGTCATGCAAAGTTCACTGACACATGAGTAAGTATGTTTCCCACTTTCCCTGGGTTAAAGGACCAAAATGGCAAAATTTGGTTGTCTTTTTTTCAGATCTCATTTAAATTCATTTTATAGAGGTAAAATGAACTTGATAACCCATATCTAAAACTAGTTCTGAAAAATTATATCCATAAAAAAGAATTCTTAATATAGGTTTAGAAAGTTGTAACGACTCCTAAGGTGCACCCCCATGGTATCATCACCTATGAGAGGAGACACAAGAAAGGACTGCAGACTGTTAGGGCAGGAGGAGTGGGGCAACAGCAACACACCAACTTCAGTGGGCAGTCACTCACCAACAAATGACTGTTGTAGGGGTTAGGTAGACCTGTAACAGAGCTTGGCTTTTTGTGCTAGCCTAGCTGGCTTTTTGCTGATTGTAATAGAGCTGTGTACAGTGTACATATAAAAAAGGGGAAGTAGGGATTGGCTTAGGCAGGTATTTTGTGGTAATCAAATTCTGGAGAGTAGTGATCTCAAGCCACCAATTGTAAGAAAGTTATCATCTTTATTAATCAAGAAGCAGCCCAACTTCCCTCATTTCTCTTATTTTCTCATTCTGATTTTGTTTCTCTTAAAGTTAGTGTGAATTACAGACCGAGAGTAGTAGCCAAGCGTTACACGTGGTATCAGAGCACCGATTCTAGTGTTTTTTGGTGTCGACGACCACAAAAAAAAATGACAGTAACACAGCGTTGTGACCTTTTAGAAGAAAGGATGACAGGTGTTGAACAGAGGATAGGGGAACTAACTGAGAGAATGAAGTCTCAGGAGGAAATTAAAATCTCAACAACCTCATCTCTAAGAGTCTTGAAGAAGCGGTGGCCAAGCTGGACGGTTGAATCGACCGATTCTGAAAGAACTATGAAGAACAGATGGCTATCAACAACAACAATCAAGCGAAGTTCTTCGAGGAACTTCGAGCCTTGGTGGCCAACAACAACCAGCCACATAACCATAGTAAAAACGACGGAAACAGTGCGAACAACTATAACCACAACCGCCAGCAGTTTGAAGGTGGAGGTGACCAGCATTGGAAACACAATAAGCTAGATATGCCGGCCTTCGAGGGTAAGGACCCTGATGGCTGGATTCTCCGTGGTGAAAAATACTTTGAGTTCTACCAGTTGAATGAGAAGTAGAAAATGGAGGCCGCCGTAGTGGTGACGGATGGCGATGCTCTGAGCTAGTTCCAATGGGAAAATAGGCGGCGACCAGTGTTGAGTTGGGACAACCTCAAAACTCGTGTACTGAAACAGTTTCGGCCAGCTTACCATGGCTCTCTTCACGAGCAGTGGCTAGCAATGAGACAAGAAACCATAGTCATGGAGTACCGAAATAAATTTATTGAAACCGCTTCACTAGTGGAAGATGTCCCAGAAAGCTTGATGATGGGCCATTTTATAGACGGGTTAAAGGAGGAAGTTCAGGCTGAGGTGAGGATATTGACTCCTTTTAAGTTTTAACCTAGAAGCTGCCATGGATTTGGCGGGTCGGATCGAAGAGAGGAATTGGATAGGCGGGTTGAAGAAGAGTAGTACTTAGTTTGGGCTAGCACGATCTGGGCTTAACCCAGTTGGGCCTAGAGCCTCCACTGGGCCTGGATTAGTTCAAACTTATGGCACCCCAACACAACAAAACTCTTCGTACAAGTCTTGGCCTTGAGCACCGACCGAGTCACAAGCCTCGGTGAATGCTCCGAGAGCCACTAACTCTCAAATTTAGAGCTCCGACGGCCCGCAGTGGTTGACGGAGGCAGAACTGCAGGAAAAGAAGGCCAAGGGCCTATATTTCAGGTCGAAGAACGTTGGGGAATCGGTCACCGATGCAAGAACAAAGAACTAAGCGTTCTCTTGTTGGGAAGTGTAGAATCGGAGGATTATAAGGTCGGAGAATCGAGTGGCTATGGCGGGGAGGCAAAGGAGGTGACGCCGAAAATCTCTTTGTGTTCGGTAGTGGGGTTATCAAACCCTAGAACGATGAAGGTTGAGGGAAAATTTGGGGAAACGGGAGTGATAGTTATGGTGGACTCGGGGGCCACGCATAATTTCATCTCCACCACGGTGATGGGAAAAGTGGGGGTGAGAGTTTCAGGAAAGAGGGAGTTTGGGGTGTCACTTGGGAATGGTGAGATAGTTTGGGGAAAAGGGGTGTTAGAGTGGTTCTCAATGGGGGCTATGTGGTGGAGGATGACTTCTTGCCGTTGCGGCTAGGCAACACTGGCTTAATCTTGGGGGTGTAGTGGCTGGAACGGCTAGGGCCAGTCACCACCAACTAGCGAACTCATATGATGAAGTTTCAATGCGGGGGAAGGGATGTGACGTTAGTGGGAGATCTACACTTAGAGCATGCTCAGATTTCACTCAAGGACATGATAAGGACCTTGAGATATGAGGTATGGGGTCTGAGGTTAAAGTTGAATAAGGTGGAAGAGAAGGCAAGAAGGGAAGAAGAGAGTAAGAGAGGTTGGAATAATCAAACCCTATACCAGCCCTTTTTCCAGCCCGTTACTACTCGTCAAAAAGAAAGACGGCTCCTGGAGGTTCTGTGTTGATTATAGGGCGTTGAACCGGGAAACCATCCCGAATAAATACCCTATACCAATGATAGACGAGCTCCTCGATGAGCTACATGGGGCTAACTATTTTTCCTAAAATCGACCTCAAATCGGGCTACCATCAAATCAGAGTTAGGGAGGAACACACGCACAAAACAGCCTTCCGTACGCACAAGGGCCACTATGAATTTTTGGTTATGCCGTTCGGCTTAACTAAGGCTCCGACAACATTCCAAGCCCTGATGAACTAGATTTTTTGCCCTTTTCTAAGAAGGTTTGTGCTCGTATTCTTCGACGATATACTCGTCTACAGTACTAGTGAGGAAGCACACCTAGAACATATGAGGGTGGTTCCGTCTAAGTTAGACGAATTTCAGTTGGTGACTAACTACAAGAAGTGTGAATTTTGACAGCAAAGAGTAGCATATCTGAGCCATATTATGTCACAGGAAGGGGTGGAGGTAGACTTGGATAAGGTGAGAGCAATGGTGGATTGGCCGGAGCCCCGCAATTTGCGTGAACTACGAGTATTTTTTGCCTTAACAGGATATTATAGAAAATTTATACTCGGTTACGCTCCACTCACAGAGCAACTTAAGAAAGATAATTTTGGGTGGAGTGCGAAGCCACTGTTGCTTTTGAAAAGTTGAAAACAGCCATGACCAAAGCCCCTGTACTCTCCATGCCTGATTTTGGGAAGTCGTTTGTTATAGTAGCTGATGCTTTCGGCTACGGCCTAAGGGCTATACTAATGCAGGAAGGGCACCCAATCGCTTTTTACAGCAAGCTTTTAGGGCCGAGATCACAAGCTAAGTCTATATACGAAAAAGAATTAATGACTATTTGTTTGGTCGTTGAAAAGTGGAAGCATTACTTGCTTGGGAGGCACTTCATTGTGAGTACGGATGAACAAAGTCTGAAATATTTGATGGAGCAACGTGAGATTGGAGAAGAATATCAGAGATGGGTCAGGAAACTAATAGGGTTCGATTTTGAGATTAGATATAAGTCGGTGCTAGTAACCGGGTGGCTGACGCTCTATCGCGGCGGGGAGAAGAAAATAGTCAGCTGAATGCCTTAACCACTTGGAAGGAGGTGGATTGGGAAATGGTGGATAGGGAGATAGAAGGGGATTCCAGCTTGAGAAAGATAAAACAAGGCATTGAGAATGGGCAGGGAGATTACCCAGGTTTCAAACTTAAAGGTGGTCAAATGAAGTTCAAAGGGAGGGTAGTAATTTCAGCATCATCAGCTCTTAGCTCTTATTTCAAATCTGATGAAGGTGTATCATGACTCACCAATTGGGAGGCATCAAGGAGAGACTAATACTTACCTTAGGATGGCAGCCGAATGGTATTGGTGGGGAATGAAACGAGACATCAGTGAGTATGTTAGGGAATGTGCAGTGTGTCAGCAAAGTAAATATTCTCAACAACAACCGGGTGGGTTGTTGCAGCCGCTTCCTATACTCGAGGCGATATAGGATGATGTGGCTATGGACTTCATTGAGGGTCTTCCGTGTTCGTTCGAGTTGGACTCCATTCTGGTTGTGATCGATAGACTCTCCAAGTATGTGCATTTTGTGGGACTTAAGCACCCCTTTAATGCCTAACAGTTGCTGAAGTGTTCATCAAGGAGATAGTTCGCCTACATGGCTGGGTTTCCAGTTTCTATAGTCTCGGATCGGGATAGTATCTTTATGAGTATATTTTGGAGAGAATTTTTCAAGTTGCAAGGTACAATACTCAAGCGAAGCACAGCCTACCATCCTCAAACGGATGGGCAAACGGAAAACGTTAATAAGACGCTTGAAACCTATTATCGTTGCTTTGTTGACGGACACCCAAAAACTTGGGCTAAGTGGCTTCATTGGGCCGAGTTCTCATATAA